CGGCGGCGGCGGCGGCGGCGGCGGCAGCTCACGGCGAGGCTGCCTCCGCTGTGAGCCCAGACTAGCAGGTGCCCCTCACGCTGAGGCTGAGCACACGCACACGCACACGCAAGACAGGCAGGGCGCCGGCGAGAGGGGGAGCGGAGCGGGGTTGGGCCGGAGGCGCGCAGCTGCCTCTGCTGCCTTTCGAACTGCTGCTGTGGCTGCTGCTGCTCCCGCCGCCACCGCCTCGGGTTGGGCGCGTGTGTTCCCGGGCGGCTCAGGGGGGTGCTAATCCACCGCTGAAGAGGAGGGGAACAACTTGCTGCTCACCGCAAAGTTGTTGCTTGCCACTTCCTTATGTAGGCATTTATTTTTCATCTCGAGGTAGTTATCTGGGGGCAGAGCCCATCCCTTTCTCTTCGGAAGTTTCCTCAGCCAAGCCCGATTTAACTCTCTTTATTATTTTTATTTCCCATTTCTCACCCCTCCCGAGATGCCTCTGCCTCTGCTGGACCTGCCTTTGCCCCTAGTGATTCTCAGGGAGCCAGGCTCAGGGCGGTACAGGGGGGCGTTGTCACGGGCAAAACCACCGTCAATCTTTCTTGCCATCAGAATACCCAGCATCTCGTTTGCTATCAGCAAGAGACAGGTTTGCAGTTTGAAGAACAAAGTAAAATCTTTCGTTTAGAAAACCCTGTCCCAGGTTTCTTTTTTGAGGGTTGCATTGCAATGGGTGGGGGCGTGGGAGTCGCGAATGTGTGCATCCGTGGGCCAGGCATTGTTTGTTTTGTCTGCGTGTGCGCGCGTGCTTCCGAGCTAGTCTGGAAGGCTCCGTGGGTCCAAGCTCCCCGGCAGAGTCCCTTCCTGACTCTTACTCAAGTTGCGGGCTGGGGCTGGAAGTCAAAGGAAAGGTGCAAGGCAAACAAGTGAGTCCATTGTGTTAGTGCTCTCTGGGAGGGAGTAAGCACTTGGCGGTCGAGAGGGGGAGACGTGCACCGCCAGAGAAGCGGCGGCGCAGCCCGCGGGAGCCCAGGTGGCTGAGCGGTGGATTCTGAAGGTGAGGGTAAGAAAAGAATTTCTCCACCTTGCATCTGGTTTAGGATGCCTGTCGCCTGAACAAAGATTCCATCAACCGATCGCTGAATACGTAGGGATTCTTCTACTGCTGTCTGTTCAAGAATCAGCTTTCTGGGATCTGGAACACATCTATTTTTCATTTTTGTGCCATTTCCCTGTACCGCTTTCATTCTGGGTGGAATTAATTGGCATCTCTGTGTTTGAGGATGAGCAATTAACACAGTTCTGCAGTTCATAGATTGCTGCCCCTGATCTTTATCTCAGTATTTCCAATGTTGACGTTGAAGATAAAATGCCTCCATCAGAGATGATCTAACCTGGACGTTTCTGAAAATTAAGTACACATGCATTACAGAGAGGTTCAACAGCAAATATGTTCTTAAATATTCTGGTCAGAATTTATTGATCAAATGAAGTATTAATCCACAGTTTAAGTAAAAGATATTTTAAATAACCATGAAAACGTCATTAAATATTTATTTTGATGAGTTACCAACTTTATACACCCACTTATCATACATACTTTAGAGTATGGCTGACTGGAAATACCAAGAAAGATGAATGTATCAAAACAGATTGGTAACTGAAAGTCTGGTTGACTTGATGGAAAAATCATAGCATTTTAAACAGGAGAATTCAAATCAAATGTTCTTTTCTTTCTAAAGCACTTTGGACTTTTTAAAAATAAGATCTCGTCCATACCATGAATTGATTTTGTCTACCACTTAAATCTTATTTTGCTAAATTTAATAATGATTCTTTTATGTCAAAGATTAAGTTCTCATTTAGGAAGAAAATACTATTTTAATGCATGGGCCCTCCCACCCCCAACCCCCTCATCACATACCACAGCAGTACTCAAATGTGATAAAATTCACTTTTAAATTAGTTTTGAATCTTTCAACCACACTGGACAATGTCTGGATTGTAAAGAGTTATCCAAGAAGAACTTTGTAAAACAAGCTGTTTAGAATTACATTGGCCGTCAGCCAATCATAGTGATTGTCAGGCTTTTATTATTCAATAAAATGACTCCCCTTTATGTTAAATGCAGTTCTGCTGAGAAAATGCTAGACATCAATATCCTCCCTGCACTTTTCTCACTCACTTACATAATTACAGTACAGTGCTCAAAATATTCCATTTATATCCTATGTGCCATTTTGTTCTTTTAGGTTGCATTGCATTAAGACCAAGAGTAAACAAAGTTAAATTAAGGAAACAAGTATGTACTGAGCAGAGACTCATTTAGCTCTTGTAACTGCATTATGGCATTGCTATTATTATACTCATTTTACAGATTAGGAAGATAAAGTCAGAGGTTTAAGTAGTTTGCCAAGGAACCCACTGTTAGTACAGATTACAGGTAGAGGTGGATCAAATTTCTATCTGTTTTCAGTTTGAATATATTATTTAAAAAAATACATGAGAGATTAAATATTTCAAGTACTACCATTGGTGCCAACTCAATGTATAGTATTCTAAATAAAGTAAATAGATATAAATTTGAGGGAAAAAAATCGACTTGCCTATTTCAGTCACCGCAACAGTAGAATTACACATACTATCATTCCCCTTTTTGCATCCGTGAAGCACAAAGGAAGGAAATAAACCTTCAAAAGCAGTGATGAAGGGGTTAATTCTTTCTGTAGCAAATATCTGTACAAAAAAGTGTGGGGATGTACGTCTTGATCACATCCTCATGCGTTAACTACAGACTCTTTCTAAAACGAAGTTGCGGTTGTGAACTACCCCTTCTGATATTCATTCTGAAGTAAACCATGGAGGATTTATAAATGAAAAGTATACTCAGTTTAAGATAAAAATAATGATGATTGAGGAAAAAAATCTATACTAAATAATCTCAATACCATTAGAAGTATGGAAAATATCTGGATTATAAATTCATATTTTTACATATGAATGTATAGTTAACATATGTCTTAGGTTATAATGGTTTCCATGTACACTTCTATTTTAGTGCCCTCAAATCACTTCATCTTTTTTACCTGATAATTTTTTAAAACTCAGTGATTTTATACTGTTTTGCTTTTTTTTTTTTAAAAAAATTAGTTACCCTATCCCTGCCTATGGACATATTTCAATGATGCTCTGCCTTTAAATTTGCATGGTTTGCTTTCCTTTTCTCCAATATTTCTGCTGAAATATTTAAAGACTAATCAAGTGGTTTGCAAAAATGATCAAAGAAAATGATTAAAATATATATAAAATTAAGGGCTATAGTATAGTATCTCACAGATAAAATAAAAAAGAAATAATTACCAAAAATTCTCTGTAATTTGTTTCCATAGTTCTTATTTCACTCTTGGCATAACATATTTTATGGGATCCAAAATATAAGAAATATAGGTAAAATATAGATCAAAAATTTTTTTGATTTTTTTAATTTTTTCCTTACAAAAATAAACATGTGTATATATATGTATATATATATACACACACATACATATAAAACTAAGAAAATGTATTTAAAGGAAATTGACATTTTCAATAATATTCATACTTTGAATATGATTTTTTGCATTATATAGATTGAATATTGTTCTCTGCTAAAGTCACCTTCAGCAAAAGTGACAGTGTGTACACAACAAAGCCCTGTTGAGTAACAGGATAAGTGCACTAGGCACAGAAGGGGAAAGAGCAGCATAAGATAATGGTCAGTGTTCTGCACCACTTGTCATTATTCGTTGACTACTGACCTGACAATCACCCATTTAAGGTGAATATAAAATATGTCAGCTTATAAATTTATCTATAAGCATGGATTTAGCCAACATGTCCCTTTATATTTGAAGAACTAGAGCTGAAAATTATATAGAGTCAGTAATAGACCTCTGGAAGGTACTAAAAGTTAAAAATAGTAGGTTAATTATAAAAATATGCACATATTAATATAATATAAATATATGAGAAGCCTAAAAAGATCAAAGAAAGAAAGGGATGTTATTAAACAAAATAAAATGCAAGTGGGAAACACCATAAAAGAAAAATATGTGCTCTACAATAACTACTTATGTGTTTTAGATGCTTGATATATGTAGTGTCATGAAATTCTCACAATCAGACTGAGTTTTTAAAAGACTTGCCCAGGGATATAGAACTAAAAAAAAAAAAAAAGAGCTAAAGTTTTCATATTTCACGAAGCTTTTAAAAAACCATACAAGAGAAAAAAAAAAAAAACCTCATGACAATGTGCTGTCATTACACCTAACAAGTTGAGAAAATGATAATGTGTAGAAGGATGGGAGGAGAAGTTTGGGGAGAGGATGAACAAAAAAGAAGAGAAGTAAGGACAAAAAGGAGGGAGGGAAACCTAAGTCCAAGAGCACTGGAGAGGGGTCCTGGGAAATCTCCAAAAATATACCTGAGAAATGTGAGATGAGTGCAAACACTGGACAGATTTGGGTCATAAAGATGAGTCCTAAGAGGCATGTGACAAAAAGTACATTAGATAAATATTGCAGACTTTAGAATAATAGTTTCTTTGCTGAAACTAAATGCTGCCAGAAAGCAATCTTGCTGAGATTAACAAAACTCTTTACCAGAGCAAGTGGCATTAAAAAAAGAGAGAGAGAGAAAGCCAAAAAAGAGCTATCTTTATTTTATTTGTGGTGAAAAATTAAAAGATTTATCTACACTAATGACCCAGAACAGGTAAGAGGAGACAATCTAGTTTTACTAGGAAATTAATTTTGCAAAAAGAGAAGAAACTCTAAGATACTGAAAACTGGTGTTTTATTGACTTGCTAAAAGATCATAAAGGC